ATGCACGTCTTTTTTTTTTCGGATCAAGTTCGAAATGGCCGACTGGCGGCCATTTTGTTAAAGAATTCAGTTCTGGATCCGTATCCAAGACATGTCTGGATTGATCAAGTTCAAACTTCACACACACATGGTACATCATGTCACAAATAGATATGTGCATTTGTTTCATGATCTGCTTAACAATAGCGGAATGATGGCCATTTTAAGGCCGAAAATGCATCAAAATCACGTATTTTCACAATTCCAGAACCGGATCTCAGTCATGCATGGATGGATTTTGTTCAGATTTAGCACAATGTGTTGTACATATGCAGGTGCATTTCGGTCATGATCTGCTTTGAATGTATATGTCACTCAAATATGAACGGAACGGGGACGTGTCATTAACAATGACTTGTTTTAGTTATTATAACTGCAAAAAAGAATTTACGCTAGAGACGACAACAACAACATTCCCCATATTGCATCCACGAAAAGCAGCCCCAAGAAGTATAAAAGGTTCCGAGCGATGCATGGCGTGATATAAATGACGTAGCGTATATATGACAATAACATATTTCATTCGTGATCCACATTCAGGGAAGAACAAACAACATGCACTTACTTGTAGCTATCAAGAATCCGCCAAGTTTTAACATCTTTTTCATTTCTTTTTTACGCACTTGTTCAATAGCTAAACAAAATATTTCCTCCCATCCATATAACTTAAGCAATTTCATCCCTTGTAGTAGTTCATTGGATTTTTTAAGACGATCATCTGCATTTTGCTAATCAATAAGAAATCCTCGTTAATCAATTTATTTTGGATATCAAGGATGGATTTACAAGATGAGGACATGCGAGGGTGTGATATGCTACCAAGATCTTGCGCGAATTGAAGAAAAGAAGGAAATCGTTTGTCTTCACCCGTATTGTTTTTGACGGTGTCCCTACATATTCGCAAAGCGTGTATGGCGTGCATTTTTTTTTTTGAATGCGGCAAAAATCTCAAAACACCCACTGAGTTCAGTGACGCTATTGGTAAACATACATTCAAGTGACGCACACTGAATGAGATCGTTTCCAAACGCTCCCTAATGGTAATGGTTATTTCAATTGTCAAACATTTAGTCCTTGCCGGAACTTTCTAACCAATACAAAATGCACATCTGTCCATCCTGATCAATACTAATACAGTTAATGAGAAACTATGAGTGTATATTTGTAATCAAATACTACATTTATCAAATGTTCATTCGAGTAGAATATTTAATATATATTTCACCTACCAATACTTGTTTCTGTGCAGCTGACATGTATCCGCCAACTTTCAATTGAATAGGAACGACAATCAAAAACACAGAGGCACCAATCAGAGCGGCATATCCGAGCTCATTGTATAGTAGAACCAAAAGAACTATTATCTGGGGAATAATGATGATTATCATAACTCATCATAATTAATATGAATAATCAGACATTTTAAGAAAGTATTTTACTAAAATTACGTGCTTATCTTTGTCGTAAATATACGGTATCAGTCGACTGAATGCATCTTACCCTATTAGGAATTCCGAGTTGATCGAAAAATGACGGTCCTTAATTTTCACCGCCTTGCCCAGTCATGCGCATCATAGATGTATATATTATGTTTATATGATTTTACCTGAAATGGCACGGTCCATAAGTAGTTGATAAATAAATACCACCAATAGAAGGAGATTGCGTCGACGGACATGTGGTTGGTAATTAGACCCATAGTCATGTCACCACTGGTCATCGTCCAACTAGACAGTCGCATAGACTTCTCATACACGTGGTTCTGTGCATAAACAATAAACACTGTGCTAAAGAGATATTTAAATCATTTTGTTATATGTTGCATCTTGATGAAAAGGATGAGAATGTGATTTAGTGTAAAATAGAAATAAGTTTTTTTTTTTGCAAACATATTCAGTATTCACTCAATAAAATATTGAGAACACGGATGTTTAATTACCTGGGTGAATTCGAGACGCATGCGCATTGCAGATGTTCAGTATTTCGTCAAACGATTACTACTATGCAGGGGGAGAGTTGCATGACACGATTGGTTGAAATAATCGTCTCATTTGCTTAAATTAATATTCATGAGCAATGAAAAACTTGTCTTTTCAGTAAAATTGTGCCAGAATGCCTTCCGATAGTACACATGACAGTTCTAAATTGACTGATTCTATCCCTACGAGCTGAAAAAATAATCGAAAAACTGATGTAAAAGTGTTTTTTGAGACAAATTTTCCATCAGACTCCAGTAAACTGTTGAAAGTAACCACAGGTTTTTTCTTTACCATGATCATAGCATGTTATGAAATTCATGGAGAATGCAGAGACACGTTGATATTTCACTCTAGTACTATTGTTCACAATTGCTCAAAATGTTTCCAGTAACTTTTATCAGTTAAAAGTTACCTAAATAGTATGCATTTCGAGAAACCACTGTGTGTGTGCATGCGCAGTTTGAAATGGAACATTTTTGAACGCAATAAAATCACGCGTGGAACTCAGGCTTCAGTGCGTCAAACTGGTTGTCGGTTGATCTGTTTTGCAATAGACATAATTTTAGAACCTGTATTTTTCTATGTGATGTTTCTAAGTTTTGTTGAGGATCATTCTGTAAAGAAATCGCTTTAATTATGTCACATGTTTGTAGAAGGGACGTTGTTGCTTGACGAAGGCATCCGGACGACTGATTTCGAAACGTTCCACCCAGATCGGACGGCGCCCTCTCGTGCCAATCCCCCTGCTACTATGTCTGCCGTTAAAACAAAAAATTCATTTATGAAAACCCGTATTTAATATTTAAGTATTATGCAATATATGACACGATTATTTAAACATACTACCAATTCAACGTCAAAATTTTGTGGAACAAACGATTATATTCGATACGTGTATACGGTACCTGTAATGCTGTCCGTACATGCATTCCTTTGATCGTCTGGATGTATGTTGCGTACTGTAGAGTTAGGGATTTCAACGTCGTTGAAATGAACATGATAGTGACAAGCACAAATCCATTACTGAAGAAACTGGAAACTGTTATATAATAATTAGTAGACTGAAAGAAAAATAAGTAGGTCGATTGTTAGAATTGTCAGAGCAAAATAATTTAACGATACTATAAATTGTATACACTATAGAATTATTGATATGGAAATTTGCGTCCATAACAGTTGAACACCATTACGTACGGAGCGCTCTTCCGCATAAAGAGGCGTTCAAACACCATGTTTTATGACACGCGCCTCAGCATATTGGTCAATTATAAATTTTGTGTTCGGGCATATGTGTTTTTCCCTGTGTGTATATACACTTCGAAAAATATAGAATATATATTAACACAATATTAATAATAAATATATTATAATAAATTTAAACAGATTTAGATATTATAATACCGTATATTGATTGGTCGATATCACCTGTAGGTCTTTTGTCAGATTTTTGTAAACAGGCTATCCTGAATTGTCCAATAGCTGTTCTAGAATTACAACGTGTTATGTGAGACTAAAGAACTGACAACTGAATACCTAACACTTGAATAGAACAGCAAACATTTTTTCACAACAACAATCTATTTGGCCGAAATTGTCAAATTTGCTACGGACATTGTACAAATTATTACAAATTGATACAATTGCGTTTGAATCAGAAATGTTCAATAGCTCCGCATTTGGACGGATCTTTTTAAACAGCAACCCTATCATGGTGAATTCACGTTGTCATTTTTAGCAGGAATTTACCTACGCGCTAGACTTGCTCACATGTCTTATTGTTATCTGTTGCTTTTTTTAGCTCCACTGTCGACTTTGTCGAGTGGAGCTTATCATATGAGTGATTGTCCGTCGTCCGTCGTCGTCCGTGTCAACTTTTTATTTTTTCGACTTCTTCTTGAAAATTACAAGCCTGAATGCTCTGATACTTGGTGTATACATATGTACCTTGGGTAGACCTCTCTTACATTTGTTCATTTCGTGATGTTTCCTTTAATTTATTAATTTTGGTGAATATTTATGTTATTTTTGGTAAAAAGATATATTTTCGACTTCTTGTTAAAAACCGATTGTTTTGATAGACATCTCCCAGGTTTATTCATTTCGTGATGATATCTTCAGTTCTCTGATTTTAATGTGTATTTTTTGGTAAAAAGTGATATTCTCGACTTCTTGTTAATAACCACAAGTCTGATTGCTTTCATACTATAAATATAAGTACCTCAGGTAGACCTCTCTCAGATTTGTTCATACTGTGATGATATCTTCAATTAACTAATTTTGATGAATATTTTTGTCATTTTTGGTAAAAAGTGATATTTTCTAATTCTTGTTGAAAACAACAAGTCTGATTGCTTTGATACTATACATTTGTTCATTTTCTAATGATATCTTAAGTTCTTTAATTGAAATGTGCATTGCTAACAGCGGAGCTATCTCAGTCGACAGACTGCTTGTTTGAGAATATTATAGAAATGCGGCAATTAACAAAAAACGAAAATAGGAAATAATAAACATGTAATCCTAACATGTGCCCCCAGCGGCACGGACTAGGTTTTTAACCAGTTACATAATTCGCATAACTATAATCTGTTTCTGGAAAATCAGATAAAACCTATCAAAAACATATTTGCATAATATGCAGATGACATTTGTCAGGAAGAAAATTATGTCTGCTTCGTTATTATATTTTCCGTTTGATCTGTTATTGATCAACGTTACGCCATGTCATGGGGTGACTGTATCATTGTGTTGGCTTCTTAAAAGTTGCCCGGTTTGTTGGAAGGTGCAGTCCTTGTGTCCTCACCAGGGCGCACACCGTTCTCCATAATGACCACGCGATGTGCAAATTGCAGCTCATGAATATTAATAGCAACCTAAACTTGAATAATGGCAGCGCGTCGTCCTATATTTTTTCTAAATAATGGGCAGCGCGACGTCCTATATTTTTCCTAAATAATGGGCAGCGCGTCGTCCATTATTTCCTAAATAATGGGCAGCGCGTCGTCTTTTATTCCCTAAATGATGGACAGGACGTTGTCATTAATTCCCTTAATAATGGGCACTGCGTTGTCCTTTATTCCTTAAAAAAGCGCACGTTGTCCTTTGTCGCGTTTGTAATTTGAGCTAAACTGCAACGATTACAGAAACACTATCCTACCTCATGGCTAGGTTCGAGGTTGTAATACAGTGTAGTGGCATAGGTAACAACACCACCAAGAGCAACTGGAGCAATAAATCCCAATAAACTGCTCACTAACTGCAGTGTCGCCGAGAGAATTAAGTCGCTTCCATATGCATTCCACTGTGTTCTCAGCAGTGATGGGATTACACCTTTCGTTGTGGCCCGTACCTGTGGTTACACAACAAATACATGACAATGTTAGGTCTGTGGGTGGTAATTTCCAGGGAATAAGCGACCAAAATATGAAAATTTATGAAAAAAATCTGTGAACGTGAAGTGGCCAGGTAGCTTAAACCACTGTATTGTTTACTTGCAAAAAAATATAAAATCGCCTGAACATTACAGGTGAAAAAGTCAATGATTTATCAAGTATATTGACCACAAATGATTTTCATACATATTATATACGACAGTATTGATTTTTTACATTTATGTTATTGAAAATTATCTTATCCCATAGCGATACAACATCAATGCATCATCGTGCCTATAAATAAATGTACCATTAAATAAAAAGAGAAACACTACTCACCCTTTCTTTCTCATACGCTTTCAAGAAACAGCCATATTGATATATGTCTCCGTGCTTCTCAGGCAAAGCGCCAAGATCGCCTACTTCAATTGGTCGTTTATATCCAATTTTCAACAACCAGTTCAGCCAGTGGAACGTCGTCCTCGACATCAAACTTGTATAATCATGAACAAAGCGGAGATTACCTTTGCGAAGGTCTCGTTGCAAGATCTCGTCGGCGTAGAACCAGCCGAATATCTATAATCCAAAGTTCAATGTTAATCACCCATGCACACATATTGCGTCCAATTACCAACAAACTGTGTGGCGATATTTTTTTTGCAACTTTGTACTTATGATCTTCTCGTATAAATCTAAATAAATTTTGTAAATATTGTAAAATATCTTTGTAGGGTAACGTACATTTCAGCCAAATTTTACGCACCCAATCAGATAACTTAAATGACGTTAGTTAGTTTACGTTTTTATCATACGCAATACAGAATGAAGTATTAACTTATTTCAACACTGGGAGAGTGACTTACATGACCCTTTGTGTTACATAACATATGGCTAATGTATATTCTAGTTTGTATCTTATTGTAGGACGCAGAACATATGGGAATGTCCTTCTCAAATTTGAGAGAACTGCCCGGTACAGCGTCTGCACCTCATTATTGTGGTTGGTTGGAATATGATAACGGAGTTTAGATGTTAATAATTAGCACGGGGTCAAATATCGGCACAGTCTGGATAAGATATGAATCGTCCGTTCCTCACCTTAGCCCTGATTACATTGAATTCCATTATTGCGTAAATAAAGTACATTGCCAGTAACACGATAGCTATATCAAAACGTAGAACTTCTAAACCAGTTGCTCCTTGGTAATCCAAGTTGATTAGAGTGATAACCTGGCCACCAATTAACAGAATCCAATATAGCAGTAATAACCAGACTAGATGTGGTCGATTCCAATATTCCATGTGATGGTAATAAACTAGGAATATAAACCCGTTAAGAAATGCCAAAGCTTGAGGTATATACAGGTGAGGCTGTGTCGGTCCATCTCTCGATAAATCTGTTAGAATTCCCTCTCCTAGTGCACACAACAGAACACACCAGAGAACTATTGACAGAGTCCATCGTACGTCGTGTCCAGGAAACTGTAACAATATATTTGAGAAGTAGTGACGTAAGGTTGTGAAACAAGACAACACTATGAGGACTATAGACGCCGCCACCAGGTAGAACAAATTAATCGCCGCATTAACGAGATCAACAAAACAGGCATTGTTTAAGGTAAATTCGTGGTTCCATATGACGTCTTCGATAACATCAGTAGTATTGCTTCTTCCACAAAACCACTCCATCATATCATATCCTACTAGAATCCCCGGATGTACTGTATTAAATACAATATTCCACAGTAACATTAGCCAATTTACGGTCGTCCATTCTGACGGTTTGATGGACTATTGCAGGTACATCAATTTACAACGCGGTTAGTGGGCTTGTTTCAACGTTAGCATACATGTATGCATGTTATCGTAGACCGGACTTTACCCTGTCAGATTGGTATCAACACCAAGTAAATACAGCAGTGAGTGCCCGCGTTCGTTAAGGCTGTAACTATTATTGCGATTTGCATAATATTTGAGGTATTATGTGATTGTGTATGTACTCACACCTCTTGGTAACGAATGAATTATTTTCTGTACTAAGAATGGGTGGTCGTCTGAACTAGGTTCAAACATCGGCAACTATTGAACGTTATGTCATGTGACTTCGAAGCAAAGGTTGAGTGACTGAAATTGACGTTAAGGTCTAGCTATAGTCGCAGCCAACCAGCTCCCTTAGATTAAGCCATATTTTAAGATTGCAACGAAAAATAAAATTTAAACCTCGATAAGAAGAGCGAGTGGATGGCAATGCCTAAATGTTATTGACGAGTGATTTGGTATATGATATCCTTGAATATGTTATATATGTTGTTTACTTCTATATGGGATGATGCAAATTTAGGATAAATCTCGGCGACGACGCGAGAAAATGGATAACTGGTTGAGAGAGACAATTCGCGAGGCTATTTCGCTTTTAACGAGATTTGCGTATATCATTTCCGCGACTTTGCGTGATACTTTTAATAATTTTGAGGCAACATTTCCTGACTAGTTTACGGGTAACTTGTTTTGACTTTGCACGCTGCTGCACACTATAGTTTTGATAGGCAACTTTTCCTGAATTTGCGCACTACTTTTAATATTTTACGGTCAACGTTTCCAACTTTGCACGTTACTTTTAATTGGGGACAATTTTTTTCGAATTTTCACGCTTTTATTCATAGATTCCAGTCAACTTTTTCTGAGTTTGGGTTACATTTATTAGGTTATAGACTTTGCAGGCTACTTTTAATTGAGTGTTGGCTCTTTTTCCTGACTTTGTACGCTACTTTTTTAAGTTTACAGGCAACATTTCTCATACTAGTTTACGTGAAATTTTTCACAACTTTTTCGGTCTTTCCAGCTTCAGCTAATTAATTACAGACGACTGTTCCCGGCATTACACCTACTTTTAATAATAACTTTTTTTTTTATTTTCACGCTACTTTTCATAGTTTCCAAGCAATATTTTTTGACATGGGCGTTCCATTTAATTTCCGACTTTGCAGGCTACTTCAATAGTTCACGGGCAACTTTCCGTGATTTTGCACTTTACGTTTTATAGATT